TTGGGCTTGTCACATAAGCCATTGTGGTGCAACCATATGCAGTCATGAATGCAAGGCCACACAAGATGGATGGAAGTGTCATAGAGCCAAAGAAGGTGTCCCAAGAGAAGGTTTTTCAAGACTAGGTGCACAGTTACCTATGAAAAAGACCTTTGTTAGTGGCATTAAAGAAGACACTGAAGAACATCATGCAAGAGATTATTTTGAGCAATATGGGAAGACTGAGGTGACTGAAATCATTACTGACTAGGATAGTGACAAGAAGAGAGGTTTTGCTTTTGTAAACTTTGGTAACCATAACCCCATGGATAAGACTGTTGTTCGGATATACCATACCATGACTAGCTAGAACTATGAAGTAATGAGAGCCCTGCTTAAGCAAGAGATGGCCAGTGTCTCATCTAGGTCAAAGTAGTTCTTAAAATGTTGGTAGTGGTTGTGGAGGTTATTTTAGAGGGAACAACAACTTTGGTCATGGAGGAAACTTCAAGGGTTGTTATGGTTTTGGTGGTGGTGGATATGATGGCAGGAATGGATTTGGTAATAACAGAAGCAGTGTGGGAGGTGGTAGAAGCTACAATAACTTTGGCAATTACAACAATCAATCTTCAGATTCTGGACCCATGAAGAAAGGAACTTCTCTGGTTCTCGTGGTGGTGAAGGCCAGTACTTTGTCAAACCACAAAACCCAAAGTGGTTATGGGTGTCTAAGCAACACCAGTAGTTATGGGAGTGGCAGAGATTTTAATTACTGCCAAGAAAAAAGTTAGGAGAGCCAGAGAAGTGACAGAAAAGTTATGGGTTACAATGGGTTTGTGAACTCAGCCAATCACAGCAGCAGAGCCTAACTGCTACAAGAAAAAAAAAATAATAATAAGGATGGTATTTGTGACTAATTATATAACAGGTATTTTAGTTTCTGTTCTCTAAAAAGTGAAAAGCATTCCAATGAAAGGTTTTAATGTAGTTTTTTGTTGTTGTTCACATGTTGTTAATTGATAACTGTAATAGTCTGATGATGCTGCTGATTAAATGTGTCTTTAAAAAAAATTCACTGGATGTGGGGTGCCTGGGTGGCTCGCTCGTTAAGCATCTGCCTTCAGCTCAGGTCATGATCCCAGGTTCCTGGGATCGAGCCCCTCATCAGGCTCCCTGCTCTGCAGGAAGCCTGCTTCTCCCTCTCCCACTCCCCCTCCTTGTGTTCCTTCTCTCACTGTGTCTCTCTGTCAAATAAATACATAAAATCTTTAAGAAAAGAATTCATTGGATATGGTAAACAGAAAAGTAGATACAGCTAAAAAGAGAATTAGTGAAGTGGAAGATAGATTTAGGAAATTATCTAGAATTCTGCCCAAGATATAAAAAAAAAAAAAAAAAGGGAAATATGAAAGGAGTTGAGGGACAGGGAAAGTAGAATTAATAGGTCCAACATATGTCTTATAACAGGAATTCCAGAAAGAAAGAAAAGAGATGGGCCGCCTGGGTGGCTCTGTTGGCTAAGTGTCTGCCTTCGGCTCAGGTCGTGATCTCAGGGTCCTGGGATTGAGCCCTGAGTTGGGCTCCCGGCTCAATGGGGAGTCTCCATCTCCCTCTCCCTCTGCCCCTCCCCTGCTTGTGCATGCTCTCGCTCACTCTCTCTCTCTCTTTAATAAATAAATAAATAAATAAATAAAATCCTTAAAAAAAAAAAGAAGAAGAAGAAGAGAGAAAGTGAGAAAGATGAGCAATTTCCAGAAAGGATGAAAGATATAAATCTTCAATGTCAAGAAGCACAAGTTCCAAGTAGTTCCAAAACAAACTAAATCCACACAAAAATATACTGCTGCAAAAATGCAGAGAGTAGAAGAAAAAGAAATTTCAAAAGCTACCAAGGAGAAAAGACAAGTTACCTAGAAAAGAAAATCAGGCCAAAAGTAGACATTTCCAGAGCAGTGATGGAAAACAAGAAGGCACTGGAATCATATTTTCAAAATGCTGGGGGAAAAAATCAATCTATAACTTTATATCCAGCTGAACTATCATTAAAGAACAAGAGTAAAATAAAGACATTTCAGACAAACAAAATCTACCAAGAACAGATCTCATCTATAGGAACTTCAGAACAAATATTTTCCAAAAGAAATGCAAGAGGAAAACTTGAGTAAATAAATTTGTATACATGCAGTGAAATTTACAATAATAACTAGGAATTACTCATTTCTGGTAACAGAACAAGGTGAAATAAAGTGTTGGTAACATATCAAGATGGAAAGGAAGTGACCAAAATTAAGCATTTTTTTAAAGATTTTATTTATTTATTTGACAGAGAGATAGCAAGAGCAGGAACACAAGCAAGGAGAGTGGGAGTGGAAGAAGCAGACTTCCCGCCGAGCAGGGAGACCAATGCGGGGCTCGATCCTAGGACCCTGGGATCATGACCTGAGTTGAAGGCAGATGCTTAATGACTGAGCCACCGAGGAGCTCCCAAAATTAAGCATTTTAAATTTGTTTATATTGTTGGGAAGGAGGGAAGAAATATTATAAACTTTAGGCATTGTTAGGTAAGTATGTCACAATTTTAAAGAACTATTAAGGCAAAAATGTACAATTTCCTCTTTAGTAAGGAGATAAAAATAATTTTAAAACTCTTCAATCAATCTAAAAGGAGAATAGATTTGTAGGTGTGGATGCAGGAGGACTTAGACTAAAAGTAGGGAAACTGGTTAGGATTCTGTTGCTCATAGTAGCAATATAAATATCTGGATATAAACAATAATGATTGTGTAGAATTATAAGAAAAAAATCTAAAAAACCTTAGTAATGGAAATAAGGGATACTTTGAATGGAGAGATTATAATAGAAAGACCTAATATTGTAAACTGTTAACTTTTTACTAAAATTAATTTATAAAGCTGCAATTCTAATACAAGACCAGCCAAGGATGATTAGGATTGTTTCCTTTCCCTCCCTCCCTCTCTCCCTCCCTTTTCCTGCACCAATCCCCTTTTACTTCTCACTCTTGATTCAACTATAGAGCACCAGGCATGTAGCAAATATTCAATAAATCAGTATTCTATTAAAATAAAAGAATAAGTGAATGATTCCACTGATCTGCAAGGAATTTCTGATTTACATTCTCAGAAAAAGTCCCATCAAGCATGATACACAGTACACATCAAGGTAATATCTAACTTTGAATCTCTGCATAAGTATGCAAGCTAACCCTTTGCCAAGGATGCTTTGTGAGTTGATTACAATTCGAAAATCACTGTAGAAGTGTTCCTGAGAGACACAAATAGATGACAATATTGACTTCTTAGGGTTAATCTAATGAAAATAACCCACATTAATTAAAATATAAGAGTAGAAGACCATTACTCATTACTTTCTAAATACTTCCTAAAGTCAACAAAACTTTTTTTTTTTAAGATTTTTATTTATTTTTTGACAGAGAGAGAGAGACAGCGAGAGAGGGAACACAAGCAGAGGGAGTGGGAGAGGGAGAAGCAGGTATTCCCTGCTGAGCAAGGAGCCCAATGTGGGGCTCGATCCCAGGACCCTGGGATCATGACCTGAGCCAAAGGCAGACGTTTAACGACTGAGCTACCCAGGTTCCCCAGTGCCATACTCTTAAAAGCAGGTTTTTCTAATTTCAGCTCCGGAAGAAGAGCATGAGGTTTTGCATTCATTTCCGTACAGAAGCCTCCAGGGCTCTTTTTGCAAACTGATAAGCCACAGAAAGTTTTTAAAAATTCTGTTACATCTATTTCCTAGGCAAGGAGAGTCTAGTGCCTTGGCGTTCCCATAACTAAGACTAGCCACACAAATGATTGCTCTCATAATGGAAGGAGTCTGCTCCAGATGGACGTGTGTCTTCGTTCCTGTACCCACTAGTTATGGTACCCAGATACACCAGCCTGAACAGCCCATCTGGGCCCTCTGCTCTCAGGTAGGATACAATAGCCTGGAGCGGGCCAACCCTCCTACTGTGACAACCTCCTTCACATATCCTCCTTGCTACTCAGCCAGAGCCTCTCTCAACTTGAGCTTCTCAGCCCTCTGGGTGTGAAGTTTGATTAAAGATATTGTTTTTAGGTACAAATGGCCCTTTTTAAATACAAACCAACCATTTCGTAAGGGCCCAGACAAGAAGCAATCTGTTTCAACACTAGAGAAAAACTGTGTTGAACTGGGAGCAGAGCTCCACTACCTTCCTATCTTTATAAGGGAATTTCAAGGGTAGTTTTGGTTATCCTTTGCCTTAAGTGCTGACTTTAGTACCTACCCTCTGGGTGAGCTGGGGACCACTGAAATATAATGTGCCACTCTTCTAAGAATTGCAGTCATATGCAGAATCTATGCCTCTCAGAGATCCCCACGGTACCCACACAAAATTAAAAAGAGAGCAGCATATCCTTACTCTTCTTATGTAACTCTTCTTATATAACTTAAATGTGTTTTTATTGGTTGAGGCCATGCAAATCTAAAATGCCTACTAGACTGTGCCTTTACTGGTAAACAGAGATCTTTTCTTCTCTGGCCACTTTATCTTGCAAGATGCTCACCACCTTCCTTAATGGGGTCAACTGTTCTGGGTGAGTTCTCTTGCACTGACAACCCTTGGGCCTGGGGCTTGCATTAGTGAAACTCTGAGGTCAGTAGAGAATGTATGTGAGGGGGCATTCAAACAGATAACTAGAGATGCTAATTAAAAAAAAAAAAAAAGAAAAACAACTAGGTCCTGACCACACCCTCCACCACAACCCACCCTGCCTCCAGGACACCACCCCCCATTGACCCCACCCCACATGGGCCCCACCCTCTGCAAAAAAATAAAAATTAGGTCCTGTCCTAGATGAATTGAGATCAGATACCCTGAAGATGGGTCCAGGTGTTGTATTATTTAAAACTTCTACCGGTGATTATGATGAAAACGAGTTAGAGAGCCACTGATATCCATTATCCCAATAAACTCTCTTAGCCACACTGTTAACTAATTCGGACAAAGTATAATACACAGCGTGCTCGCTTTGGAGCATGTATACTAAAACTGTAACCATACAGAGAAGATTAGCATAGTCCCTGTGCACAGATCACATGCAAATTCGTGAAGCATTTCATATTTAAAAAAAAAAGTAAAATACACAGCAATAACAGGATGACAGAATCCAGTTCCTCAACTCCAGTCAAATATTTTCCCTGACTACGCAGTAAGTAGTTACCTCTCAATTCTAAATTATCAACTTTGCTGATGATAATCCAGGAGGATTCAGCAGAGCACTGGGGGCCCCATGCTATCATGGTTGCTGGGGGATGGGCAGTGCGCCCAGGCAGAGGCCACATTCTTAAAGAAAAGGCATTCCAGAATCCCCAGAATTTGTTTTGAAAGGCAGTATCATTCTGTTAGTTATCTACACCCAAAAACTTCAGAATTATCTTTGAGTTCTATTTTTCATGCAATATCTGTGTCTCTCCATTCTCGTTCTTTCTTTCTTCCACACATTTCTCCCTTTCCTTTCTCATTGCCACCACCCAAACCAAGGCCCATATCACCTCCTTTCTAAATTACTATAATTCATAATGAGCCTCACTGGCCCAGATTCCTCTCTCTTCAAATCATCTTGCGCACTCCAAATAAATCTCTCTAAATAAAGTTTCCACCATTTCACTGCCGTATTCCAAAATTGTCACTGGTTCCCATTGCCTAAAAGGCCCCAATCCCTTGCCCCTCCACAAATGAGCCAAAAAGCACCTTTCCGAATCCATGTCCACCTTTCCAGTCAAACCCCTCACCCGGCCGCTCGGGCGCACCGAGCCCATTTTCGGCAAGCGCTGTGCCTCCCGGACAGTCCTGTGAGCAGACCCCCGTTCTGCCCTCGGGGGCCGGGTACGTGTGCGGCGGTCGTCTACCCCAAGCTACCCCGCTGCGCCTTGGCCTCAGGTGAGTAACAGAACTGATTTCCTCAGGGCACTGTGAGGATTAATGAGCGAATGAGTAAAACGATACAAAGCGGACGCGTGGACATGGCAGATATTGTTACCACTTTGCTTAAACGCTTTCCCGGCTTGTAGCGGGCCCTGTTCGCATTGCTTCCAGGACCGGTTATTAGACTGTTGGCTCTCAGTCTCAAACCCGCCCCTCCGGGTTTGGCTAGGGGCCAAGGGCTGAGGCTGCAAACTGGTCCCGCTTTGCTGGTCCTCGGCAGCTCTTCCAGAAGGAGGCGCTACGGGGAGACGGCAGGCCTTTCCTCCCGTTGGACATTCCCGTGGGGGTCCTTCCAGCAACAGTTCTTCCTGCAGCAGCAGCTCGGCCTTTTGCAGGTTTTCCCCACACCCCCAAACCAGCCTCACTGGGGCTCTAAGAGGCACGAGCGCCATCTGGGCGGGACCCCTGTACCAGCTCTGGGACCTCTTCTCCAAGTTTCTCATGTCTAATCCAACCTTTTCTCTTTGTTCCTCTACCCCTGCGTGCCGGTCGGTGGCTGTTTCCGGCTCTTCCTGTCGCTGAAATATCTCAGAGTGTCCTCTATGTCCTCCAGAACCTGGTTACTGATTCTTCATATTAAACTGTCTCTGTTAACCTAACTGGTATGGCGTGCGTTTCCGAGCGGGCCCCCGGCTGATATTCTTCCCAACACTTCCCCCCTCCAAGTTGAATACACACCTCATTGCCAGAAGGCCTCCCCATGCCGTGAACTCTCACAGATCCCCAGACTCACCACGGAGGAGAGATGGGATGCCCTTGGAAATAAATTTCTGATGTGACTGTCTTGTCTTACCACAGAGAAGCTGAGGTCAAAAGTTAAAGGCAGGACCTGCACCTGGTTCTCTTGCCTGCTCTCGGGGACAAAGGGCCCACAAGTGCCATGCGCTTAGCCTTCAATCATTTGAGGCCCTGCAGCCTCTTCCGAATGACCGCCTTAGCATATCATCTAACTGAGACCCTTTAACTTAGCGTTAGGCATCTGGATAAAGGAGCCCTCCTGTGTGAGTCCCTGGGCTCCAGAAGTACTTAGCTCTGTATTACAGACGCTGTATGTATGCGTGGGCACGGAGGGAGGACTCCAAATAAAGTTCAGTGAATGAATTATTTAATTTACCCCAAACTTTGAGCACAAGTGATGTCTATAGCTCTCATGTGTTCTAGACTATCGCTAGCAATGATCACCGTCTGAATCCAACAAACATCGGAGAAGAGTGTTCTGGCCTTCACGGACGCTGGAAGGTCTGTAGTTTGCTCCCTCTATGCAACAGAATGGAAGCTCTAATGGGATTGGATGAGAAGGCACATCCTACTAGTTAGATAGGACGTTCACATAAATTCACAGCACAGTTTTATTAGGTGATGTTTCCTCACTGGTGGACTCTAATACTAAAAGTTATAAATAAGTCTTAGGACAAAGCATTTTAAAGCACAGTTTTCAAATTATTTCCATAAATTTGGCTGTAATAAAATAACCTTAAATTATGCATAGAGGATAGTCATTGCAATATGGGGAGTGACTGACCCAGTGAGATTTTTTCCAGCAACTTCTGGGGCAGCGCATGGCTGTGACAGCCTGCGAGGACTAGGGAGTGTGACCTGATCATTGCCATGGTCCATACCTTCTATCCATGCTTTCCCTGCCACGTCTCAACTTCTCTTCCAAAGAAGGTAGGCTCGGCCTTGGGGTCCATCTGTGGAGACAAGTGGTGACAACACACGGTGGATGAGTGATGACAAACAAGAGGGGTGGGAGGGTGCCGAGGAGGAGGCATGTCTCTCCCCAAAGCAAGGCAATTGAGGATCAATTAGTTTAAACAACTTTGGCCTGTGCTAATTTCTTTATACTGATTTGGAAAATATCACTGGAAATGAATTTGGGGCTCATGTTAGCCAGATAATTAATTTCTTTCTCTGTTTGTTTTTGCTTTTGAATTTTTGCCAACCTTAGGATTTAGGGATAAAGTGTCCAGAGGAGCAGAAAAGCATTCGGGGAAAGTATTTAGGGCCAATCTATATTAAACACACTGTGTGCTGCCTGCCAAAGAGCCTAGAGCAGTGCCTCCCAGACTTTGCTGTGTATTAGGGTTACCTGGGCAACTGGAAAAATAAAACCACATACCCTGATGCCTGGGGTGGGCTCCATACCAATACCATCGGGTAAATCAATAGTTTTGAAAGATTCCCTCCGGTGATTTCAATGCACAATGAAGATTGGAAACAACTGGTCTAGCGAAAAGAGACTGAGCTTTGGGGTAAAGCAGCCCCGGGCTCAGGTTCTGGTTCTTCCACTTAACAGCCATGTGACCTCAGGAAGAAATGAGGCACCTTTGAGCCCCAGTTTCTTCCTTGGCAAAGGGCGATACTGATACCACATCGAAGAGCTGTGGTAAATATTAAATGACAGGATAAGAACGAAGAACACATGTTATTCAATAAACAGTTGTTGTTAAAGAATTCACAGACAGAAACAAAACTAACTCGTAATTCAAGGCATAGTCAACTAAGTGTGAGACGTGACCCGCTAAGGGAAACGGGAGAAGCAACTACTGTCCAGGGAGGATCAAAGAAGGCTTCACAGAAAAAATGACCATTGACCTGAATTTTGACTTATGGGACCATTTGAGTTGGCAGAAAATGAAGAGAAATATCTTCCCGACAGGAGGAATAGCAAGTGGAGCCATGGGATAAAGAAAAGCAGGTTCGGGGAACTACGGGGAGGCCCACGTGGCAGGAGCGAGGGGCATGGAGTGTGTGGTGGGAAACGTGCCAGGAATACCATGGGGGGCTTCGACTGCCCTTCCAAGGAGTCTGAGCCTTTCCCTGTACACAGTGAGGAATCAGTGCTGTCTCTGAGGCGGAAATAGGATGATTAAATCGCTGTTTTTAAGGTTGGAAAGAGAAGAGTTTGGAGGGAGGTGAACCAGGAAGATGGTAATGGCAGTTGAGCAGGGAGAGGGAGGGAGGCCCTGAATCCAGAACGGTCACAAACTGCATGGCCACCTGGCAGCATGAGCTACTGGTGAACTGTGAGAAGTCACCCGCCAAGGTTTCTATGTATGTGGCTGGCTGTTGGTGGCATGTACACAAGATCGGTGATTTGTAGGGTAAAGAATCTGAGCTCAGTGGGAGACATGCCAAGTTTGAAGTGAGATGTCCCATTGGCAGTTGGAAATGTAGGTCAGGAGCTCAGAAGAGATGGGGTGGAGTCAAAGTGGGTGGGGAAAGTGACCGGCATGTGGGTGAAGCTGTGGGAGAGAATGACATGGTGCTGGGAGGGAAGCAAAGCAAGAAGGCCTTCCGGGACCAAGATGAGAACTTTGGGAGAGGCCCACATTTAAAGAATGACAAAGGAAAACTTGGGTCAGAGAGCTTCAAGGAGAATCTGGAGAAAGAGTGTCATGAAGGCCAAAAGAGGAGACTTCCCAGAGTTTTGTGGTCAAGTTGGAATTAGGAAATCGGACAGTCATTGTTTTCCTTTGAAAAAGGAGGTTCTGTCAGGACAGAATTTGGAGGGTTGAAGAAGGAATGTGTGACAGTGTTGAGTAGAAACTCTAAAGAAGGGGGTGAGAAGATAGTGAATGGTAGCTTCAGGGAGAAGCGAGATTGAAGAAGGGTTGGTTTCTATAGACATATTTCACCATTCATTTAAATCAGTGAGAAGGGGACCTGACACTGAGACGGTAGAGAAAGAGGAAAAATGGATGTGGTCATATCCTGGAGGAGACTGGAGCATGGTGAGTAAGAGGGCAGGGAGAAGGAGGACTGGGACCAAGAGGAAGACAATAGAGACCGGGAGTTAACAAAGAATTAATAAAATATTTTTAAATGGCATTTAGGACATAGCTGAAATGAGAAAGGGAGAGGGCAGGAGAGGGGAAATGGAGAGAATGGCACGCCTGAGTGGTAAGGGGCTGACCATCAGGAGCAGGGGTTGGGGATAAGCAAGATGGACCAGGTGGGCGCAGAGGAGATCTGCCAGGACAAGTGATGCTCCAGCTTCCTGGCAGTGCTGCAGAGACCAGGAATCAGATCCTGGCTGAGCGGGCAGGAAACAGAAGGGAGCTGGGAGCCTAGGAGATTCGGGAAGAGTAAAGACACAGGCTCTGATGAAACCCAAGAGAAGGCTCTTGGGAGAAACTAA